GGTTTTGTACGCGGATCACGTGAGATTTCACCCGTGTCGTCCCTATATAGAGAGTCTACCGACTCTCTGATAGTGGGACTTCTGATAAAGGACACTCTGAATGAACGACACAATAGAAAAAACCTTTCAATGAAAGACACTTTTTGGGAGCCCAAACCTTCACTTTCCTACATACCATTCAAGTCTGAAAACTAGCGAAAGCTGCTTCCCAACGTGTAGGCTCCCGTGGACTGGAACAGTATTCGGTGACTTTCAGCTTTTTTGCTACTGCAATAGGCTGCATTCGAGAGTGCTGGGGATAGCGGGAGAGAAAGCGAGCCAGAGGCAGGGGCAGCTATATACAAAACTCGTGTGGGGTCTAGCAGCAAAAAAGTATAGCTTTGACGTACCTGTAACTTCTTGCACTAGGCCCTATTGTTTTGTTCTGTCTTACTAAATGTAGCCCTTATGTACTGACACATTCTCTTTTACTTTTCATACTTCTTTTCTGTTACACCTGAGCGTGAGTCGTCTAACTTTGCAGAACAATCTAGCTCTTGCATCTTTGGAACGTATTGTTAGTTTTTCTCTGCTCCAGGTATCACCACTAGCCACAGGACTATTGGCCCAGAAGTCGTGGTCACCTATTATTGCAGGTAAGGTTGTAGCTATAATTATACTCAAACTAATGCTTCCTCTTTTATGCTCGTCAGTCCTCTATCACTGAATGGTCTTATGCAGCTGTGTAGCTGTGTACAGCAGAGTGTCGTGGGTTGGAATCCCACCCAGGGAAGCCTTCTTTCTTCCTGGAAAAGAAGAGCTGTCCTGGGTGTAGTTGACTTGTTTGCTTTGCCTTGCGTTTCTACCTCGATACCTAGTCGTTGACACATGTACAGTGGAACCTGCGAGTAATGAACATGTTGGTTTGTCCTCTATTGTCAACTCCTTGGAGGTTAAAGTGATACTTGGAATTTTCAGATCGCATATATACTAGAGCAGTTTCTGGCCTGAAAACACTCCCTTCTGGTAAGCACACAGAGTATAAAAGCCCCCAATTGCATTCCACGCTGCCATTTTCCTACTATCGTCTAACTACCGTAGACCCACTGTGGTTTATGCAAATGAGTTGACATACAACTAAAGTATGGGGAAATTGTATGGCCTCTTTATGGTATAACTACCTGTAGACTGAGCAGGAAGCGCCCACTATGCATCTACGTTGTTTGGACTAGCTGGATCTTACTCTCAGTGATCATACAATATGCTATTATAGTGGCAGGTGGATCATCGATTATCATGTATCTACTACCGGTGTTTACATCAACCATGGGGGAATACCCCGGGGTAGCCCCAATAGCTCTAGTGAGGTGTGTCAGCTATGCCACCAATCAGTGTGTGGGCCCCATATGGAACACCAGACTAGCTACCGGATTGGACCGCGCATGTGCATCCGCGCTGCATGCATTAGCCTCAAGTATAGTGTGCCATTCTAAAAGTTAGCATAGAATCATTACAAACACAACTACAGTTCCAATTCGTAGAAGAACTATTCAAGTTAAAAGTGTTAAATCTGCCTTAAAGGTGACATCAAATGGATGCCAACACCACTGTGCATATATATGCGGGGTAAATAGTACAAAAATACAATCAACTGAGTCTCTTTTATCTAACAGACAGTCACTTTAAGAATACATTTACACTTATAAGTCACTTTCTTTCTCATCAATATCTGGCTCAGAAACTGCCAACTCTGTCAGCTCAATCTGAGGATGATCAGCAGGAGATGGAGGTGGGGAGGTTGTAGTAGCCACTGTAAGAGTTGGGAACCGAGAGAGCTCCAGGTAGCCACCATATTGTTCCAGGAGGTCATTCACCGTGACTACCAAATCAGAGAACTTTGGACGTTCACCAGCTTCCAGTTTCCAGCAGGAGACCATGACATTGAATCTAATGAAGCAAGCATAATCCCTCACAATAGGATAGGTAGCTAGATTGTCCATGATCATGGAGGGACATTATTAACTATTGCCATTACGGTCACACAGTGATCACACGCAGCATTCGTGGGAACCAATTACTCTGTGGAAGCAAAGCACTGATATAGCTACAGCTACTCTATAGCTGGAAACATTTGAAAGAAAAAGAACTAATATTGCAGAGAAGAGAAACTTGCTGGCATAACAATGTAGCTACACACTCACTTTTGCGGATGGCTCACAAATCACACCTCTAAAGATTCCCACTACATTTCATCTAGCTATAAGGTGCATGTTTAGTCAATTCAACAACCTTTGTAGTCACACATTGCTAACACCGAATAATGTACAGACACAGTCAAGTGTGCACAAAACCTTTCGCGCATCCTGAGTTGCTGGTGGAAATCTTCGTTAAAGTGTGACTTGTACTTAGAAATATGGTGACATAGCTATCAGAAATACTAAGATAGATATTAAATCCATACATGTCATCATGGCAGGCCTTGTTGTCAGGTTTCTCCAGTCTCTCTCCTCTCTTTAGTTCAGTCAGAAGGCACATGGCATGTATTCCAGCGTATGGGACCCTCCCACAAGTGAATATCTCCCACATTGTCACTGCATAGGACCACTGAATAGGAGAGAGTTGGTGAAAAACATGGGGGTGATGCATATACACATTTTGCTGCTAACCACATCAGAAGCCTCGGTGTAGATGCAGTTTTCAATACTCTCAGGAGCCATCCACCTGATGGGGACTTTCTCTTCTGTCTCACTCTTTTTTCTTCGACGAATGTAGTTAGTGTTGTACATGTCCTCTGTCAGTCCAAAATCAGCTACTTTGATGACCCCTTCTCCATTAATCCTGTTTTAAATCCACAAGTAATCATAGGGTGTAACTAAACTCAGTGCAAATGAAAGGCACTGAAGTGCAAACCCTCGGCGCAGTGATAATAGTGAACACACGCGCACAATTATGTAAAGTAATGGGTGGGGCAATGGTATCACCAGGTCTGGTAGAATTGTTGTACTTACTGGTGCTGTATTTAGGTTCATAGACTTTCCTCCCAAGCTAGTGAGCTACAATTCAAACGCCTTAGTTGGAGGCATACTTACTGAACTCAACTGTCTTCTCAGTCTAGTCTCACAGAGAAATGAGGGAAAACAAAAATGGCTGCTGGCCACGTGGTCCCAATCAGCGTGCGCCGCTTTGGCCGCCTGCCGCCTCGGAGTCGCGTGCGTTTTGGTGTATACACACATGCGCGTTGTTAAAATGGCCGCCCTTGCCGTACCGTACTAACAGGACAACGCTCTAGCTCTGCAACGAAGCAGTTTCAGAGAAAATCCCACATATTTTCTGACCTCCGTCGGCCGCTGGGTATGTAAACCCGTTTTTGACGCGATCTATGACTGGAGAAGTGAGTTCTCACTTAAGTGACAGAATGAATGAATGCACTGAAGTGCAAACCCTCGGCGAACTGCGCACATGCGATACCACTAATTGATGGGCTGGGCTTTTAGTATGCGTTTACCCGTGGTATCCACGCTAGTAGTTCGCGGAGAGTCTGACACGGACTAGCTACAGTAGTAAATAGCATGCGGGAGTCGATACTTTGCAACGAAGCATTTTCAGAGAAAACCGTTCGAAATTTCTGACCTTCATTGCACGTTGAGTAGGTCGTATCGTTTGTGAGACGAACAGATATTCGAGAAGTGAGATTGAGAGTAACAGACACACAGACCCAACTACCGTAACCCTCGCTGCGCATGCGCGCCGAGGGTTAATAAATATCGAACAGCCCAACTGTACACACCTAGGAAAAGGAAATTTTTCTGAAGAAAAAGAGCTCCCCTACATAGGTGGGACCCGAACCAACACTGAAGCAGAAGGGCCGGGAGCAAAAGTGGGGCGCAAAGTTAATACAACACAAGACAAAGGCAAAACCCACGCACAGTGCCATGACTCAGAAGCCTGTCACTTAATGAGAGAGGACACTAACATGCATTATAATCTGTAGTAAGGTCACAGACTCATACATGCAGTTCCTTGCTGCCAGGTCACGATGAACAAACTTTTGTCCAGAAAGATATTCCATTCCATTTGCAATGTGGAGGCATATCCGAAGAAGTTTCTTACATGCCAATTGTACCTGGAGCAAGTAGTTAATTAACCAAGATCACAATAATATTATTCTTTGCAATAATTATTATTATAATTACCTCTTCTTGTAGGAATTGGCCTGTTACTAGCAGATTATCTTTGCGATTTCTGATGTAGGCTAGCACACTCCCGTTTGACATAAATGGCATGATGATTAGAGGCATCTCCCCATCAATGCACACTCCAATAAGAGACATCACGTTTTCGTGTTTGAAAGACAGCATGGTGGACACCTCCTTTGCCAATGTCTTCAAGTCATGTGTTGAAGAAAGTGCTAATAGGAAAAAAAAAACCTTAACCAAGGGGTAGTGAGCTACACAGCAGAAAACACAAAGCTATAGCGGTTATGCTTAAGCAAATTCATTTTGCCTATCTAATGATTGGTTCGCACACTAAACATGCAATAAAGTATGTATATTGCGACCGACATAAGAACCGAGCACTAGCAGCAGCACCGTGTAGCTATAATTATTATATCACATACATAAATGCATATTTGTTCCATGCCACATTAAAACCTCTGATAACATAATTATATACGTTGGGTTCAAGTACCGGTTTTCATGAACAACCACTTAGCTATATACATACAACTGGCTGGTTTGGATACTAGAGTAAGTTTTCTGTTTGTGAGCTTCGTGAGACTGAACCCATGCATTGACACTCTAATAAGAGAAGAATACCAGAAAACTAACATCCGTACCTTTTCCGGTTTTAACTGCAACAATGTCTCTACCAACCACCGTTCTAATGTAACCTTTGTACACAAGTCCAGACTCTCCTGTACAAAATGTACTGAAAATCAGGTTCAAATAAATACAAAATCACCTTGTCCAACTGTGGTGGAGAGCTGAATTTGATCCTTTGAGTATATCATTTTCTTGTTTTCCAGTTGCTCTCGGAGATGTTGCAAAAAGTCAGCTTGCCTGCCTTCACCTAGTTTTAATTTACTACAAATTAGCTTGCTTGGAATAAAAATAAAATTTACTAAGAGAATAGTAATGCGGTTCACGAGCAGAAGTGCTTTCCAAGCTTCTGTGCATTGTGTAAAAGAGATAGTTAAAAATGAAAGGAACCAAAGTCATACATACCTCCTTTCCTTGGTTCTCTTTCTATAAGCTGATATAATTACAGTAACCGCAACGAAACCGACAATCACACTGAGAATTAGAGTCCCTAGCACTGCTGCTACAATAACCACAGTTTGTGAAGAGGCTGCTTGCGGAAGTGACGATGTAACTGCAGGTAGTAGGGTACACCAAACATTTCATTAGAGTGTTGGTAGATATATTTAAGAAATAGCTACACCCCTGTGACGTCCCTACGTACGTCCCACTTCAAGAAATAAAGTGGGTTGTCACATCATGAAAAGGAAGGGGAAACAAGAAGATGCCTAGTTATACCAAGACAGAAAGTCATTCATAGCCCCAAAGCTGTTAGTCTTTAAGCAACACAGATTTGCTAATAAGCTAATCTAGCGTAATTTACTTTCTGCAAGATTAAAGTTAACGAACCAGATTGCAAATTATCATTGAGAGAAAGTTACTCGGATGCTTTCAGATGGTTTACCTTCATTGAGGTCACTGATACATATAGTCGCTGAAGAAGGATCAACAGTAAACCCAAAAATTGTGGAGTTAGTTGATATTGTGTAATTGAAGCACTCATCCCCAATTTCAGTAGTATTGTCTGATATGATTCCAATTGAAGTACACTGTTCTGGGTTTGAGTCAGTTATATCAAAGTTTCCATTGATTGGCACATAATCACCAGGAGCTACATAAAAAAAATTAATTTAGTAGTTAGATATAACACTTCTTTGGCTTGCCTTTGGCATCACCATCAACAGTTTGGTAGCTGACACTGAATGTCCTTCCAGCAGTAGTTCCAGAGAGAACAGATGCACATACTGTAGCCACACCCTCTTCTTCCCACCACTGAGTACACTGTCTGACTTAGACCAATAGTCACATCTGGTATATGATACAAGTATTATCTTAAGTGGGACATCGGGATGGCTTGTAGCATGAAAGAATCCATGACACTATTATGAAAAAAACGCACCACACAGGCAATTGACATAGACATGCTGTAATGCAGTGGGTAGGTGTCTTTGGTATAAAACTAGCAATCTAGCGATCTGTAAGAGCTATGTAGTATGATGCAAATTTGCTACATGTTCTATTGCATGCAGCATGTTGCCTGACTTATCAGGCAAAATTGAGATTTTGTTTGTCTCATGCAACTTAAGTTGCATCATGTATCATGCCTGTAATGTACAGTACAGTCACTGTTACTACAATAGAAGCTGTAAGTGTAAGTGGATGCTGTGAATTCATGCAGAGGTTTTTTTTCGTAAATAGCTACACAAAGGTACCAAAAACAATACGTCGCAGGAACCCTAGATACTCCGAGTAGTAAGTAGCGTCCCTTGTTCTATGTGCCTTTGCTGTGTAGCAACCTTTTTTTCATAAACATCGAAATTGAAGATGTTTCTTTGCTTTTACAGCCACTAGAAATCCTCTTACCAAGTAATGTGATTGGCGAGCGAAGCGAGCCTACCTAATCGTCTCAACGGGCAGATCTTCTATCCGCCAATACGACACTCATACCGTAATGTTCTTCCTAGTCCTCTCAACGGGATCCGCCAATACGACACTCATACCGTAATGTTCTACGCGCTTCTAAATACACGCAGAAAACGTGAAAATATTGCTCAGCTAGATAGCATAGTATGTTTCACGTCATTCTATACGCGCAAAACATGCGTGAAATTTTGAACTGCTTGCACTACGAACTGCTCACTAGCCAAACAATGCGTTACATTCCTCTAGTATTCGATAATGCCACGCCCACCATGGACTATTCGCGCTCACCTGAGCCCCGGAAGTGGTTGTGTAAACGGACACAACGTGCTTTATACTTTTCTTGCGGGACATACAGTTAACTTTTGACTGATAAGGTTTCATGGTTAGTAAAGGATACTGTCAAAACCAAAAAGGTGTGAGTGTTGCATCCAATTGTTAGCGTTTTAACAATTGGATGCAAAATAAAACAAAGTTAATACATAGACATTAGAGTTACTCACAGCATTCGGGCTCTCGGCTATCATCAATGAAAATGGTTGCATTTGAGAGGTTGGATTGTAGCTGTACTCGATTGCCCATTGTTGAAATAATACTTAGACCAATGTTGAAGAATGTAGGCTGACACTCATTATCATTATCAATGCTGTATTTGTGACATTTTCTCGACTCAGATGTAGAAAAGTATAATTCCTTGTAGCAATCATCAGCTGCATTGGATGTCTCAAATACTGCATTAAAGTGTTTGACCATAATAACGATTGACACAACTTTAATTGAAAAATAATTATTATACCTGATGTTGGTAGCAAAACAACTGAAAACGAATGAAGGTGTTTCCCATTGAAAGAGTTAAGAACTTCCACACACACAGTAACTTGTTCCTCTGCCTCAGTTATTGAGTATACATCAGGATCAAACCCAACAATCACATCTACAATGGAGAGAAAGAGAGAGAGAGAGAAAGAATTGAGTGTCTCAAGTGGTTGATTGGTTTGAGCTTTGTCTATTAGCATCAGTTCTTCTAGTGAATTCTTTAGACTAGCTTCTCAATCTTTGCTAGCACTAAGAGTTAACCATCTAGTCCTCTCTGGAAGAGTTGGTGCCAGTTGCTCTGCTACTTTTCAAACGCCACCCTTGTCTCTCCCCCCATCTATCATGGCTTCCACTGGGTCTGTTTCTCAACTGAGTTCCTGCCCTTTCTGTAAGGGCTCATACATCAAGCTTGGCCAACACCTACCTCACTGTAAGGAACGGGATGGTAGAGACTATACTCATCTATTGGCAGCCAAGAACTTTACAGATTAGATCTCAGTCGAAGAAGAAGGCAGAGTGTCCTAGATGCAAACGCCTCTTTAAGAGGCTTGATGCCCATCTCAGAGTTAGTGCTACATGCAAGGATGTCAACCCAACTCCTCCACCCACTACTGCTGCTTCTGCTGAAGCTAGCTGCGGCCATCATGATGAAGAAACTGGCAGGACGCCATGTTTTTCTCACCTTTGAATTCAAATCCTGCAGCTGCTTCTGATGCAGCTGCTCTAACCACAACCACTACCAACACCTCACCCACTATCAACACCTCACCCTATCCAGACCCACAGACCAAGGCTAGCCTCAATCTCCCTACTACTGCTGAGGGCTGGGAGACAGCCAACTCTTACTTCCATACCTCCCTGGTCCCAGCAGTGCTGGGTGTTCAGGAGATGAATAGGATGCTGTATGAGGGAATCTACTCTTATTTTTCTTCCTCTTTTTGCACCAAGACATTAGAGGCGCCACCCTCCTCACAATCAATCTCTGAAGGAGGTGGAGAGAAGGAAAAGGGAAGCAAAGAAAGGGTTGAGGTCCGCTAAGCGGAGTGGATCCCCAGCTGATGTTGTGCCCTCTCTGGCTCGCCACTTCTTTTCCCTGGTTCGAGTACACAGCCAGCTTAAGCGGGCAGCGAAGGCTCGGTCATTTCCAGAGATGTAAGGGCAGCTAGGGAGAGGTGTCACAAGAGATTCAAGGGGGTTACCAGAGAGGTTCTGGATGGTGGGTCAGATCAGCTTGCCCCCTCCTTCAGCAATGAAGTTGCAACCTCGTACTTCTCAGATGCCTACTGCTCGTCTCCTCGGAACTTCTTCCGACCTGGGTGGTTGCCTGTTCCTATTTCCCCTGAGGTTGAGCTGGACTGCAGCCCATTCACTCAAGCTGAGGTTGCCCAGGTGATCAAGAGAACGAAGGCTCAGTCGTCTCCCTCTCCTTTCGACCGGGCTGGGTACATCATTTTCAAGAAGTGCCCTTCCCTGTTTCCTGTCCTGGTCCAGCTCTTCAACATCTGTTGGTCCCAGTCTACCATTCCCAGGGATCTGAATGTGCAGCTATCAAGCTCATCCCCAAAGGCTCAGCTGCTGAGGATGACTCAAACCCTGCTAACTTCCGGCCAATTGCTTTGACACCGTGCATTGGCAAGATGTTCACCACTCTCTTGAGGAATCGTTGGTTAAGGTACATGTTGACAAACAGGTATCTTGACCCATCCCTTCAGAAGGCGTTAAGGTACATGTTGACAAGCAGGTATCTTGACTCATCCCTTCAGAAGGCATTCATGCCAACGGTCCCAGGCTGCACTGAGCACCACATCAAGCTCTCATCAGTCCTGGCGGAGGCCCACTCTAACCACAAGTCCTTAGCAGTGTGCTGGTTGGACCTAGCCAATGCCTATGGAAGTGTGCATCATTCCCTCAATGATTCTCTCTCCGCCACTACCATGCTCCTCCTCAATTCCTGGCCACCCTGCAGGCTCTCTACTCGGGCCTCAATGCTAAGATCATCACACCTGAATGGGAAACTTCGGTTATCCCCCTTCAGAAGGGGGTGTACCAGAGGGATCTCCTCTCCGTGGTAATTTTCAACACGGTGATGAACACCCTCCTTGACACCGTGTCACTCAGGTCTGACCAGGGCTACCACTTCTTTAATTCTTCACGCCGGGTGAATATTCTGCAGTATGCAGATGACACCTGCCTTGTTGCTGACTCTCCTGCTTCATGCTTGGCTGGAGTGGTCTGGGATGGCAGCCAAAGTTCCCAAGTGCCAGTGTCTAGCTCTACAGAGCTCCTCTGGAAGGTTGATAGACCCTCATCTCAGTCTTGGGCGGGGCTCCTATACTGTTCTCCACCGGCCCTGTACAGTTCTTGGGCATGCAGGTTCAGTGATGACAAGGGGGGCTGTCCTGACCAGACTCCGTGGAATGCTTTCAGCCATCGATGACACTCTGCTGACACGGAAACAGAAGCTGTTACTCTACTCTGGTGGTGTCTGCCCCAGACTGACCTGGCCCCTACTGATCCACGAGTTTCCTATCACGTGGATGGAGTAGCAGGTCGACCCACCAGTCACAGGCTACCTGAAAAGGTGGTCTGGGCTTGGCAAGTCCACCAACACAGCCTGCTATACCTTCCCCGCTCACTGGGTGGTCTGAACCTTCCATCTTTGACTACTCTTCACAAGCGGCTTCAGGTATCACGCCAATGTCAGCTGCTGACCTCTCAGGATCCCTGTGTCCGCTTTTTGGCAGACCGTGGCCTCCAACGAGATCTATATAGGTCTAGTTTGGAAGAAGTTCCGACCGGCCAAGGAGGCCAGGGAGGCTCTGGCTAACAGCCATGGAGGTAACCGAAAGTCCCTTGTGAAGGTGGCTAAAGCTGCCGCGAGTGAGGAGGTAAACTCCTCCCTACTTTATCGTCTCCACAGCGAAGAAATACAGGGCCAAATGAGTAGATGTACCAGTCCCAGCTGCGCCCCAATCTGTTCCAGTTCAGTGTCGAGCAGGCTCAGACCAAGGGCTATGACACCAAATTGATTACGATCGAGGTGGGGTCACGGGGTGTTCCTCGAAGATCTGGCCAGTGACCTGGAGCTCCAGCGAAAGCAACTAGCCAGGTTGCTGGAGGATTTCGCCAAGCTTGCCTTCGCCGGATCCTTCAGCATCTGGTGCTCAAGGAACAGAAAACCATGATTCTGGTTGTATCACCTTCTACGTTAGGTTTTTGCTGTCTCTGTTTTATACCTCTGTATTGTGGTTCTGGGCGATTGTGCAATGGTTTTGTACACCATTTTTACAAGTTGACCTTGGTTTTCACCACTCCTCATTTTATGTATGTACACATTGAAATGAAGATGTTTCTTCCCCCCGAGAGAGAGACAGAGAGAGAGAGAGAGAGAGAGAGAGAGAGAGAGAGAGAGAGAGAGAGAGAGAGAGAGAGAGAGAGTGTGTGTGTGTGTGTGTGTGTGTGTGACCATCTAGTACTGTGGTGGACATCTACAGACTGCTCAGAAAAGACTACACCCGAATGAAAAGAGCATACCCAAATGAAAAGACCATACCCAAATGACTGAGAGCTGTTACCTTTTGCCTCCATATTTGCTCAATCAAGGGTGCATGTGTGCTCAGCTGCCATAGTAACTATTATGATGATCCGATTGGTTAGTCAGGTTGTAATACAAATAATATGGCACCATACGATACCGCACGAGGGTGTATCCTATGCTATTTTGGTGGCTATATAATACACATTAACCTATACACAACTTTTACACATGAATAACCTCCCTATCCTTTTAATACCATCATCATCCAGGATAGTGAAAACTGCAATCTCTGGGGTGATTTTAACCTGGCTGGTAAGGTTAGATCTCAGCTCGAGAGATATAGTGAACGATTCGGTATCCTCAGCAATAGCATCATCAACAATTGCAATTGAAGCGCAGGCACTTTCACGGCAATCAGTAAAGTTTATGGTTGGTAGGTTTGTATAGTCAGCCCCAAACACTAGACAGAAAAAAGGGTCGAAAAAAGTACAACTGTCAACATTAAAAAGACTACTCTCTAATAGGTACACACGTTACTGAAAAAAAAAGCAAACCCTCGGCGAACTGCGCATGCGCGATACTGCTAATTGATGGGCTGGGCTATTAGTAGTATGCGTTTACTCGTGGTCTCCTGCTAGTAGCGCACGGAGAGTCTGACACGGGCTAGCTACGGTATATAGTAGATAGCATGCGGGAGTCGATACATGCCGTTCGTTGTGACTTCCTGAGCCTCCAGGGTACACAGAGCGAGCGGATCAGGTCGCAGTAAGCCCAATGCGATTATGCATATTGGCTTTTTCGCTTGTTTTCACGGCATATATCTCGAACGCATTCGTTTCAGGAAAAACGCCCTCAGGCTCGCGTAGTTCTGAAGCCGCTGGTATATCGCTAATTGGCCGCCTCGTAGCCAGCCTGTAGTGTCAGAATACGCGTCGACACACACACACACACAGACAGACAGACAAACCAACTACCGTAACCCTCGCTGCGCATGCGCGCCGAGGGTTAATGAAGTGAAAACCCTGGCCGCATTACGCATGCGCGATACAGCTAATTGATGGGTTGGGTATGCGTTTGTTTGTGGTCTTCCGCTAGTAGCTCATGGAGAGTCTGACATACACGGGCTAGTTACAGTAGTAGATAGCATGTGGGAGTCGATACACATTGTTTGTTGCGACTTCTTGTGCCTTCAACATCCACAGAACAAGCGCACCCGGTCGAGGTAAAAGTCTGTGTTAATTAGCATATTGGTTAAAGGCACTTCTCGCTTGAGTGATAGAGAGCAACAGTACAGTTGGCACTGTGTAGCACCTATCGCTCAGGCTTGTTATCACGCCATAACTTCTGAAAGCGGCAGTTTTACAAAAATCACCATTTTCAAAAATAATGAAGCCAGTGTAGCGCTGAACCCGTTGGTGTCGTTTTTTTTTACCTGTTTGTTGCGCGTGGTGTCAGAAAACGTGGTAACAGACGGACGGACAGCTGCGCATGTGCGCCGAGGGTTAATTACCAGTATTGTTATCTTCTGCAGAGATGTGGATTTGAAAGCCTTGGGGAATGACACATCCAACACCGCGTTCTTTATCGATGATGGTTGCACACACACGTACCTCTCCAATACTTTCTATAACTATAATTTCTTTCTCTTGGAGTGCAACTTCAACAAATGCTAAAAGGTTTTAAAACAGAGAGCAGTGACTGCATACTGCACTGAGGCCAATGCATGAGCAATTAGGTCTATAGCTACAAGGGACAATAAAGAATGATAACTCAGTACATAAAAAGATGGCCAGCAGAGCAGACTAGAGGAAACAAAATAAACACAACTTTGACTCTTGATCATAGTAATCGTATATAGAGAGACAGGACGAAATGCAAACATTTATTGTGTATGAGATTATAGCAATTTGTGTCACTTTTATTACTCATCGCTTTTGTCCACCTTACCCTTAAAGATTGAAGGCAAGCATTACTTTTATAACTGAAGCTCTCAAGATGCCCAAGACTTTTTAGCTACCTACTGGGACATTATCGTAGCCACTATACAGTTTTCTGCCTTTACTTTGTCACAATCTGACTATATACAATAAGATGACAATGTTGGAATGAAGCCAGCATACGTTTAGTATAGTATACTAAACTTACTTGTATACACTCCGGGATTAGAGCAAGATGTATGAGGGATAGGATTCAAAACAGATTCAGAAAGTGAGCAGTTCAGAGGATTACTCTCAATTTGCCCAAGTCTTGATTCAACAAATGTCCAGTGAAAGGGGCAAATCTGACTTTGTTGATAACAGGCATCAGAGCAGACTGAGGTCGGTGGCTCAAAATGAGTAGAGTTTCCACAGGGAGGCAGGTAGTAGTGACATATCATTCTTACAGTTGAGAGTGTACAGTTATGATTGGAGAATATGTCACCTAGCTGTTGTTCAATCTCCCCAAGTACATTGAGTGGTTGGAAGGACTCGCTACTATTCTTGAGGTACACATAGTCAGTTCCACTCTCATAGACACTATCACAAGGAATACCACCACTTCCCAACAGATAGGGTGAGAATGGAACACAACTTCCATATCTGATATGTTAAAAAACATTAAGTACAATGTATAATTATAGGTAAATCCAGGAACATTATTGGTGAGTGAGAGCAAAGTTAGAACTGCATAATATTGGGAATATCAAAGCTTATCAAACTGCATGCAGGGTGTTATGTTCATTATACGCATGCGTGTTGATCTTTATGACATCATGTTATCCTTTGTAAGACCTAGGCATTTCTGTTATAGTCAGTCGTGATCACTACTCCTATAATTAACCCTCGGCGCGCATGCGCAGCGAGGGTTACAGTAGTCGTTCTGTCTGTCCGTCTGTCTGTCCGTCTGTCCGCGCGAGTTCTAGCACTACAGGCTACGAGGCGGCCAATGAGTGGCACCAACGGGTTGTGAACGACGAGAAGATTGATATTAATGTGGCGATTTTCTGCGTTCCAGAGATATGGCATGAAAACAAGCGAAAAAGCCAACACGCGGTCGATCGCGCCCTCTCCTGCAAATATATAGCGCGCACGCGTCATGTCAATTAATCGACGGAGCATGCGCTACGCCACAACGTTCCACGGGCTTCTGTCAGTTTTGATCTCTGTTCTCTTTTGTTTTCAAAGGATAAACATGCTGTAGCATAATAGATAGTTCAGGTGGCGAGCAGTTTGTGGTTATAAAACGTCTGGCGAGAGCATTGAAGCACAGAAGAGCGGATAGATTGAATAAAACAAGTATGAGAGTCTCTACACCTGAGCAATTGCTCTAACCGCTAATGCAACTACACTTTGTAACGGTGAGAGTCGCATTACTGGCTCTGTCGATGACGCACAGCCCAGCATACAGCGATGCTACAACTCGCGCGTTTAGCGCCGAGGGTTTGCACTTTAGTGCTTTTCATTATACGTATGAGCTCAGTAAAGATATATAATTTTTTCTGGAGATTTTTGCCGATCCCGGCTCGCGCGTGCTAAGCAACTCTTCAGAGTAACTACACAACAATTGGCGACGAGGATAGACACGCGATGTCAACCGAGGAAGGTGGAGAAGCAGCACGACCTCCTGCGCCCGTCGTCGTGCTGCCAGCCGTCTCGCTCTCAGCTGTGGGACTCCATGGTGCAGTCGTTCCGTTCAACCCAGACCAAGACGATTGGGGCGAATACGTCGAACGTTTGGAACATTATTTTGCAGCGAACGACATCGTGTCAGCCGACAAGCAGCGCGCAATCCTGCTCGGTGCCGTAGACCGTCAACCTACCGCCTCATCCGCACGTTGGTATCTCCCGACAAGGTCACAGACTTTACCTTCAGTGTTCTAGTGCAGAAGGCCCAAGCGCACTTCAACCCGAAGCCATCACCGATTGTAAAACGGTATGAGTTAAAGACTAGACGCCAGGGTGAAAGCGAAGCTGTAGCCACATACGTAGCCGAACTGTGTAAAATAGCAGAGTTCTGCGACTATGGCCCTGTACTCAGCGACATGCTCCGTGACCGTCTTGTTTGCGGGATACACAACAAAGTCATACAGCGACGCCTACTCCAAGAGACCGCCCTCACGGTTGATAAAGCTCTGGGGATAGCCCTGTCGGCAGAAGCAGCGGACAAAGACTCCAAGAGGCTCACAGGTGGTACTCAAGATAAGGATCTACCCGCTCCTATAGAGCATGTGAAAGACCGCCCCAATCCCAAGCACACTGGGAAAGGCAACCGCCACAGCAAGACTAACAAACCACAACAACCAGACAGCAGAGTTCCCAGAACTCAGGGAAACAGGAGTGCTACAGATGTGGGGGTCAGCATAACTCTTCTGATTGACCGTTCAAACACTATGAGTGTCATTATTGCAAAAAAAAAAGAGGACACTTTGCCAGGCAAAAGAAGAAAAACAGTTCCAGTCCCGAGCAAGGAAACTTCGTTGAATAAGAAGGGGACAGTGAATATGGCATGTTTCATGTGGGCTTAGCCAAACAAGACCTCTCTATGCTACCGTCACAGTCAATGGAAATCCTCTCTCGATGGAGGTGGACACTGGTGCATCCGTCTCGATTGCAAGTCTTGAAACGTTCAAGACCATCCAGAACGGCAAATCTACGCTTCAACTTGAAGAGTCTACCGTGAAACTCCAGACCTACACCGGTGAGTCGATCTGAATCTCTGGCTCGACCAAGGTCCAAGTGGCACACAATGGTCAAACCCTGATTGTTACCGAAGGCAAGGGCCCTACCTTGCTAGGACGAAACTGGTTGGAAGCGCTACGGAGGACGATTTTTCACGATAGGGAGCAACCACACACTACAGTCAGTTCTGCAGGAGCACGCCGACGTGTTGAAAGACGAATTGGGGAAGCTGCAAGGAGTCGAAGCGAAGATCTATGTCGAGGAAGGCGCCCGTCCAAGGTTTGAGAAGTCCCGACCTGTCCCTTTCGCCATCCGCGAGAAGGTGGAGAAAGAACTCGATAGACTCCAGGCACTTGGTGTCATTCAGCCAGTCAGATCCTCTGACTGGGCGGCCCCAATAGTACCTGTCCTAAAGGGTGACGGCAGAGTGAGAATCTGTGGGGACTATATGGTCACAATCAATCGCGCGGCAAGGTTGGAGAAGTACCCCATCCCTCGTATCGAGGAACTGTTCTCGTCTCGCAGGGGACAAAACATTTTCGAAATTGGATGTGTCACACGACAACGTGACAGCTTTCACTAGCAGCGAGTTCAGCGATTTCCTTAAGAGGAACGGAATCCGACACATCCTCACACCGCCTTACCATCCAGCCTCGAACAGATTGGTGGAACGTTCAGTCCAGACATTCAAGGAAGGGCTGAAACAACTGAAGGAAGGTTCACTGAACACCCGACTATCACGGTTTCTGTTTAAGTACCGTCTGACACCACACAGTTCAACAGGTGTCTCTCCAGCAGAGATGATGTTTGGAAGAAAGCTAAGGTCACAACTCGATCTGCTGAAACCAAACCTAGCTAAGGCAGCCGATGAGACTCCTGACCGCCAGGAAGTTGCTCATGACAAACAAGCCACACCACGAAGATTCCATGTTGGAGATTGTGTATACGCTCGAAACTATAGCAGTGGGCCAAAGTGGTTACCTGGACAGGTTGTGCAAGTTGAAGGTTCTGCGCTATACCACGTCAAACTCAAAGATGGCCGTGTCCAATGTCGACATATTGATCAACTGCGTTCTCGCCTTCCTGACTCTGAGGACGCTACACGCAGTTCGGACACCGAGCTAGACAGTGGGCCTCAACTGACTGAGAGTGGACCGACAGATCAAGAGACTGTCACTGATTCTCAAGAGTTATCATCAGATCCACCAACAGATAGCAGCAATGCTCCTGAACCGGAAACTACCACAGAGCCACAACCTCCAGAACCGCAACCGGAGACCGACGAACTCGTCCCGAATTCCGCACCGGCTACGCAAGAATCGTCTGAACCAGAGAATGAGCCTCCACCAACCAATTTGAGGAGGTCTACTCGCACGAGGCAGCCGCCTCAGAGGTATGACGAACTTATGTATTACATTTTCTGTATAAGGCATGGTTTATTACCCTCGGCGCGCATGCGCAGCGAGGGTACTGTAGTTGGGTTTGTCTGTCTGTCTGTTACTCTCAATCTCACTTCTCGAATGTCTGTTCGTCGCACAAACGATACGACCTACTTAACGGGCAATGAAGGTCAGAAAATAAAGGCGGTTTTCTCTAAAAATGCTCTGTTGCAAAGCTAGAGCGCTTCCGGCATTCTGCGGCTAATGCGTAGTCGGCCATTTTTATCGCCGCGGAAAACGCGCATGCGCTTATATTTTCAACAGGCTTTTTAACCTCGACCGGGTCCGCTTGCTCTGTGTATCTTGAAGGCACAAGAAGTCACAACGAAGGGCGTGTATCGACTCTCGCATGCTATCTACTACTGTAGCTAGCCCGTGTCAGACTTTCTGGCGGGAGACCACGAGTAAACGCATACTATATAGCAGCCCAGCCCATCAATTAGCGGTACCGCGAATCCCCAGTTCGCCGAGGGTTTGCACTTTAGTGCTTTTCATTGTTTTTGTTTCTGTATCATCACTTATTGAGCGTATGGATGTTCCAAGCTAGGGAAGGAGGAATTTTATGTTCATTATACGCATGCGTGTTGATCTTTATGACGTCATGTCATCCTTTGTAAGACCTAGGCATTTCTCTTATAGTCAGTCGTGACCACTACTCCTATATACAGTAAAGATAATTATATATTTTTCTGGAGCTTTTTGGTGATCCCGGCTCGTGCGTGCTAAGCAACTCTTCAGAGTACTATATACACAACACACGGCATGAAAACATTCGCGTAGCGGTAACTATGGACCTCTAAGTTAGTTCACTCCTATAGCTTTAGTGGCAGCCAATTACCTGTTAAAGCAAACAGCTGGCAATGTTAAAGAGTCTTGTCCAAGGAAATCCTCACAGTCGTCTAAAACAAACAGAAGTAGATCAATTTTACTGCCTAAAAGAAATGTGAAATTTGAAATCACCAGTAGCCAAGCAGGTGGATGTTGTGGCCCCTCCACTGCATCTGAGCGGCATTGAAAAATTACCCCGTTTACCAGGCTCACTACTGCAATCCATCAGTGAAGACTCTTTGCCAGTGCAGTTTATTGGAACACCTGCACTCTTTAGATTCCATCCTACCACTACCACTGTGAATTCAAATGTAGTATATAGTAAGGTGCTATGGATCAGGGTGTTTACATAAACACACATAAAGGTAAGGTTATGTAATGTTGTTGATATTTAACAGTCAGCAGGGGGAAATGGCACTTACGGATGCAGATATTTTATTGCAAGACAATAGTAATAGAAGTAGGGTGCAAAGAAGCCTGTTTCTATGACCAGCCACTATAGGTTCATAGCCTGCCTAATTTTTCTAGCCTAGAATGCAACTTGCAAAGAATGGATAGACAGAGAAAGTGTTTGAGAATGATCATTATTACAAACTTTTGCGTGCAGCAATGGGAAATGGGAAGTTTGGTAGGGTGATAGTAAGCAAACACCAAATACGATTAGCTCTGCCTAGAATTATAGGTCAATTGTTGTAGCTACCTCATACACATTGTATAGCTACTCTACCTAACCATCAGTTGGTAGTCCCAACTGTCTGCAGACGACAGTAGCCTCCTGCACTCCCCAGGTCACATCTCCCACTACCCTCCACTCACTACCCAGACACATCTCCACTCTACCACTGGCATTGGTGTTCATGTTGTTGTCAACTAGACGAACATCGCCCTCTTTACATTCTGAGACTATGAACAAAAACTACACATGATTAACACAAAATGACACTAATTGTTACCAAAAACTGGGTGTGTTCCGTCCAGATCAAACACAAACATTCCTGGAATACCGACATTAGATCTTGATGTAACATGAATGATGCTGCAGGTTTCAGAACCGGGAAGCTCGAAGGTGGCGATTGCCGAAGCATACACAACATTTGCAGTAGAAATACCACCATAATCATAATACCGCCAATTGCACTTATCCATTGCATGAGACCATCAGCGTAGAGATACATTACATAAGTTTCATTTCCAGAAGTTGCTATTACAGCCTGGAATGTGTTGGTCTGTGTAAAATATATAATTAGTCCAACAAGACTGAGTTTAATGCATTATTAGCTAGCTACCTGATAGTTTTGAGACAAAAGGTGAAGATGATCCCATGTGGCAATCAAAATCTGGTCAATGTATGACACAGAGGGATATACACGTTGTATGTCAGTCAATGCTCTCTCCTTTGTGCTTTGAGAGGTGGTTTTCCGAAACCAGGCAGCTCCTCCAGCATTATCAATATCATTTGGAGGAATAATAAACACGTCAATGCCGTTTGCACCATAGAAGATATGACCAAACAACCACACCTGAAAGATGAACACTTAACCAGCCATGGGTATACATATATATGAACATGTCTATATATCCATAAGAATTAATATGGCAGTTTAAATACTAGGCGCTAATACTTAGACACAATTTTCTGCTTGTTCAAGGAGCTATGTACTCATGGCGTCCAAAGGCTTATCACTAAGAGGTTGGACGGGCATGGTACTCTGCAGAAGATGCACTATAGAGGGTGTTAATTAAAAGTGGCTAGAAGGTGTCACACGGTAAAAGAAAAAACCAAAGACAACTCTTGAAGAAATAGCCAGCCCTGTGTGAGATTTGAACCCACCACACTGTGCAGTCTACACAGGGTGCTTTACACACTGAGTCATTGCTATTAGGGCTGCATGCTTAGCAGATAGCTAGGGGCTCAAATCTACAACATAAGAGAAAGGCACAAGGCAAACCTCAACTATAATTGGTCAACTCTCACTTTGTATGTAGCAGACAAGATTACTGATCAATGACCATGTAAAAATAATAATAATAATGTCTACAAGACCACAAGGCAAAAATTCTCAAGTTCTGTGAACTCCCTTCAATAGTCAGCTCACCGTAACATCAACATCTCCAAAAGAAATGTGCCCATTGTGATTAATTGCCGGGTCTACTTTAGAATCTCCAACATCTGGACCATATGGGTAGAAGTCTTCCAATGGTATGGCAGTAGTGCACAAGAACATCGACATTAGTAACAGTAACTCTATGAGTGAATTTCTTGACATGATACTGCAGTGATTAAAAAAAGCAAAAATAGTTAATCTCTTTCTTTGAAAACTTTGGTGCCGTCTGGTGGTTTGGATAGACACAATTTTTTGTGCTTTCATGCCGTAGTTTGTCACATCTGCTAAACTGTACGGATATAAACACTCAAGTCACACATATGCTTGCTTAATGAAAATGTTGTGAGTAGCTTCAACTCTTGCAAAAGCATGTCGCATAGTCACTCAAAAGACAAGTTTAGAGACATTAATAAATTTTCATAGCTACAGAGGGCATTGGCCACAGCGTGTGAGGAGAGAACACGAATTGGTTGAGAGGTTAGTTCTTGTATAAAAATAAAACCACTGTAGACAGGATATACCCATCTCCATTGCTGAAGGATTAGGAATACACTTGCAGTTGCACTGACATATTAGCCTGATAGGGCACTGAATGCATAGGACGGATCTACATTCCTAAGACATTTTTCAATAATCTCTTTTCTTTGAAACCCTTGGTGTCCTTTGGTGATTTGGATAGTAGCTACACACTTGCTTTGTGCTTCATTGCATAGCTGAAGGCTTACTAATTATGTTAGCCACCCACAAAGGAGCAAGAGCTTATAGTGGTGTCTAACGGAGCTTGTAAAGTTTACACAGGGACATCTGTTCTACAGAATATTCACAACATAAAAGAGTGCGTGCGTGGGTGTTCCATATGCAGTCATAATTATTATGTACACAGTGATTTGGTTTGAGAGGTAGTGGGCGTTTCTGAAGGTGGTGCTTTTTGTGGATAGGTGGTACTATTTTACTGAGAGGTGGTACATTTTGTTGAGAGGTAGTGCGGGTACCTACGTGCTCTGCGCATGTGCATACAGATAAGCAAATACCTGCGGCATACAGCGACGTTCTCCAACCGCTCCTACTCCCGCAGGTCCAGGCATGGCCGATGATTCACAAGGCGAGCTACACAGCGTCGCTGCGTGCCGCAGGTAGATAGCTGCCTCATGTTGTTTGCTTCATGCACAGTGTTCGGCGCACTGCGCGTGTATACACATGCACGTAGGTCCTCGCACTACCTCTCAGCAAAAGGTACCACCTCGCACACCACCTTCAAAGCGCACACTACCTCACCACGTCTCCCTCCGTCAAAAACACCGCCCACCTCTCACGAAATGCGCACCACCCCTCCATCAAAGTACCACCTCTCACGTCACAACACCACCACGTCTTGATGAAAATCCTCTTCCTATCCAGTCGCTAATTTTGGCGGTGATCACTTCCCATGTGGTTCTTCGGGGCTATTAAGAACTAGGTGGTTTCTTGACATACCACAAAAACACACTCTTATTATGGCAGGAAAACAATAAAATTGAACATTTTAGTTTGTTGTTTATAAGTAGTATATAAAAGGGTTGACCAACTAGTTTTAATTTACCTGGCTGTTGCATTAACAAGCCAAAGAAGAAAGCATGGCATTTAAAGCAGTCCTTGTAGAAAACTAATCTACAACCATAAATTTATGGTTGTAGGGAGAATCATAATAGAAGAAGTGGTAACTTAGAAGAGATTAGTACATGGGCCATCTAGCAACGAGCCACTCATTTCTCAAAAGCTTCAAAAGTTCAATGTATAACTACGTATTCCATAATCGCAACGAATAACTGTCTTGAAAAACATTGTCTTCTTCTAACTGCCCCAGTAGCTAGCTACCTCGTTTTGATATGCCCTCTTTGCAGACTCCGAATTCGGAAGCTGCTTTCGATTTGCGCGCTTTTGTGGTACCACTATATACGAATGGGACGTTTCCTACACTAGTCAGTATAGTTATATACCTGTGAAGACTGTAGCTAGCTCGTGTCAGACTCTACGCGAGCGGGAGACCCCGAGTAAACGCATACTAACCCAGCCCATCAATTTAGCGGTACCGCGCATGTGCAGTTCGCCGAGGGCTTGCACTTTACAAAGCGGCTTTTCATTGTATTACACCCATAATAATTAACCCTCGGTGCGCATGCTGTACTTGGTCTGTCGGTCTGTCTGTCTGTCTGTCTGTCTGTCTGTCTGTCCGCGCGAGTTCTCGCACTACAGGCTACGAGGCGGCCAATGAGTGGCACCAACGGGTTGTGAATAACGAGAAGATGGATATTAACGTGGCGATTTTCCTGAAACGACTGCGTTCCAAAGATATGGCTTGAAAACAAGCGAAAAAGGCAACGTGCGATCGATCGCGCACGCGCCCTCCGGCAGGCTATATAGCGCGCACGCGTCATGTCAATTATTCGCCGGAGCATGCGCTACGCCACGTTGGTTGTATATGCGATCCACGGGCTTCTGTCAGTTTTGATTTCTGTTCTCTTTGTTTTCAATGGATAAACATGCTGAGCAAGGTATGTTCGCAATGTAGCAGTTGGCGAGCAGTTTGTGGCTGCGGCCTTGCTATAAACAGAGCATTGAAACACAGAAGAGCGAATAAAGCAAATATAAGAGCCTCTGAAACACCTGAGCCATTGCTCTAACCCCTAATGCAACTAGCTACCCTGTGTTACGGCGAGACTCGTGTTACTGGCTCAGTCGATGACGCACGGCCAAGCATACAGCGATCCTACAACTCGCGCGTTTAGCGCCGATGTTAGTGCTTCTAGTAGGCGGATGCATGGCATTTTTGGCGAGCGGGAGCGAGCACACACACGAGCCATCAACATACAGCAGCGTGTAGAAGTGCGTTATCCTGACGCATGCGCAGGTAGCACATGTGAAAAATATTGGAAATTATTTCGGATAAAAAGAAGCGCGTAACGAAGCCGCGCATGCGCACTTACACGACGTTCGCGGTCGTATAAAATCGCGCCGTTTGGACCACTACTATATAGCTCGCTCCCGCTCGCCAATTAGCTGAAAGTAGCTACTCTATGTTTATAGTACAAAAATCATGTCTACACAATTACTAGTGGAAATGTTGAACATTGTTGGCGAGCGGGAGCGACCCAACTTGGGATTTACCCCCGATGTTCCGGCTGCATAACGTGCCGTCAGCGCACAGCTTTCCTTTCGTGAAGCAAGACAGATATACCTGTCGCCGTTACATGCGTACTGTATATTGACAGCACGGTGAGCAAGTGTGCAGAACGGTACTTACCTTACGCTTTCCGCTCGTCAGTCGTGGTCCACCGGGCAGCTGGCATGCAGCAGTATCTACACGAGCAATCCTAGCTTATTTGCAAGTTGCACCTTCGAACCATGAAGATTGGGGTTCTTTCGCTGGCTAGATCGATCGGAGCATATCGCGAGGCACCGTACTCTATATCTCACTTGTCCAATGTTTGTTAGTCTCACAAACGATACGACTTACTTTACGGGCGATGAAGGTCAGAAATTTCGAGCGGTTTTCTCTGAAAATGCTCAGTTGCAGAGCTAGAGCGCTTTCACCAAACGAAAAAGCCAGTATGCATAATCGCACTGGGCTTACTTACTGCGATCACATCCGCTCGCTGTGTACCTTGGGGGCTCAGGAAGTCACAACGAATGGCATGTATCGACTCCCGCATGCTATCTACTAGCCTGTGACGTGTCAGCTCCGCGAGCATCAAATAGCCCAGCCCATCATGTATCGCGCATGCGCAGTTCGCCGAGGGTTTGCACAAGACTGCTGATTCAGCACAACGTACGTTAGTGGGCGGGCAAGAGAACGTGTGCAAAGGCAGCTAGGGCTGTGCTGCGCTATGCTCAACATTTTTTTGCACACGGCGCCCCATAGGGGACCTGCAGCGTCATCGAGGGCGAGATATATCAACGGTCAGCCGCAGCTGTGTGTCCGGATCGCTACTCGGCGACAGGCGAATCGAAATGGCAGAAAATCCTCTGGGCAAACTAACCCTCTCAGCGCTTTTCGCATGCTAATACGAAATAACGAATGAGGGGAAAATACAAAGATGATCTTTGATTCGAACTTGGATCTTCCATGTACAACGTTTAGCTCTTATCCCACAGTTGTACCAGTCCCCTGCATTGCAAGGGTGTAACACAAAGGAACGACCTAATACTCAACAAGAGCCTATACCGCGTTCCGCGGTAAGAGAACTAGTCCTAAGTGAACCTTCAGGAGGAAGGCAACGCAGTTCACCCAAGCCACCTTGATCACCACAGTCATCTGAACTTGCCTTCTCGTACGCACGGGTGTGATGGGGGCTGAGAATAACTAAGTCACACGTTCAAAGACTCATCAAGTATAACACATTCATTATAATTCATCCTTATCATGTTTCTTATCATGTTGCCCCATTGATCATGTGACATAGATATGATATCAGTGATGTTGCACTGAAATCATGGGCTCTATGACATCACCTGTGTATTGTCATATATTATAATTATTGTCTATTTTGACCTGCAAATTGTGTCTGGTAGTACTTGGTCTGTCCAGCTGTCTGTCCCAGGAAACTCTAATCATTGGGGCCGAATTATGTGCAATACGGTGTACATTATAGCATGTTAGCTAACACTTTAAGCTACTGTAGCTAGAACGTCTAAGGCTAAGTGCTGTGTGTCAAAACAGAGGACCCATGGTGCACGTGTTTTTCCGCATATAACGTTACGTAATTCTTCCGTCCTAGTAACATGTGGACACGTCCTCGGCCCCAATGAGTCAATTTTGATTGGCCGACTTTACCAGAGATCTGATCTTAGATCCACAACCTCTTGGTGTGGCACAGTGAAGTCCAGCCATTCCCCCACTTAGTAAAAATTTGTATAAAACAGCATTTTATATACAAGCTATAGAATACACAACAATAACGTCCATAATGTATGTGTAGATAAAACTCATGGACTGTCTTTGGAACTTGTAAAAAAAGCTAATGTTTTTGGGAGTGAGGGGATTGTTACATTGGGAGGGAGGGAGGGAGAAAGAGAAAGTACTTTATTAAACCCCAAACAGCCAAGACTGCACCACTATTGTATGGGGCAAAAGTTGCTAACCAAGTGGCAGAGAGTGTGGCTGTTAATATTGCAAAAAAGGTCTCATGCAACAAAGTTTCTTCACTGCTTAATTTTTGTCCCGTTTTACCTGTTACGTAGTCACGCCTAACCCTTCCTCATACTAGGAGAATGCAACTCAGTAATGGCAATAGGGCATAGGCTACCTGGGTGTAGTTGCCTTGCCTTTCTACCTCGTTAGCTACCAAGTTGTTGAGACATGCACACTGTGAGTCATCTGGCTACATCTGACACGCATACCATGATGTTTGCTTGCCGATAACAAATACACAAAGATCGCATTCTGATTCCGATGTATATAGCTACATGGGGAATCTGCTGAAAAAGGTTAACAAGCAGAAGACCACCATTAAAGCAAATAATGGCAGTATATAAGGGTTATATTTGCACTGGGCCCTATTTCGTTAGTATATAACTGTTCTACCATTATCTACTGACATGATTACCAGTGATGTCATAGTGACATCATCAAGTCTCACCAGCTTGAGGTCAGTAGCGGCAGTCTCCCTGCACCGGAGGAGCTGGTCGGCCTGCAGGGTCAAAGTGCAGGTTACGTAACCGTATCTCTCCATGGTGGTGTTTATCTTCCGCGAGTTGGCCCCCGTCTCTTGGAGGTGTGTCTTCAGGTCTCCATGGTGACTGCAGCAGTCCTTGTATGCCTTCTTCAGCTGCAAGTGAGGAAGAAAGGAAGGTGGGTGGAACTTCTTATAATGGACACTGAATAGAGGACAACTCTAAAAGAAATGACACTTGTTTCACTAATAAGAAACCCTCTATTATTAATAATGGCGCAGAGTTAAGTGTCCAAAATAGTAACGTGTCTGTATTTCAGGCACATCAGGGTTCCACTGCAGTGTAATGTTTAAGCCCTGAATAAAGGACAACTTTGTATAATGACATTTTTCATGGTATGTTCCACTGTATTGTAAAACACCCAAAATCACCAGTTAATCAACATACCTCTGTTGCTAGGGTTTCTCCATTGACAAGGAGGTTCTGAATGGCTTAGTTGAGGGGGTTGAATGATGTCACCATGGCAACCAACGTCTGAGGGGGTTGGGTTTTGGTGGAGTAGTCGACCCTGTAGACCTGAGTGGCTTGTGACTGTAGGAGGAGGAGGAAGGGAGGGGGAAAGTGGTGATGAGGAGGAGCAGGAGGAGGGGAGGGGGAAGGAAAATGAGGGAAGAGGGTGATTGTCTCGTACCCAGCTGCTCCAAACTCAAAAGGGAAGAGCTTCTGGCAACTTAGACTAGTCCTAAAGACGTATTACCCATAGTATCCAAACCGCTTTTCTAGTTATGTCATATTTATGAGGCCACGCCTACCAAAGTCCGTGTACTGATGTTGATTGGCTATTAGATACAAGACCCTTTACCACGTGATGAGTGGGTCTCTGGCATGAGACTAATTATTGAATTGGAGCTGTTGTCGTTGTTGTGAGTGTAGGTGGGTGTGGTCTTACCTCTCCCATCACATCGAGGGAGATGCTGACGTTGGCAGTCTTGGCTTTGACTGCCATTAGCTGTACACAGTCACTGATGACAGCCTGCAGGTGGTGGGAGTTATAGTTCAATATATACGTACCTACAGTACAACCGAAGAGTGCTTCTAGTGTGCATGTGTGCATGTGAATGCATCTAATAGCTGCAAAATTCCTTTGTGTTACACTCTTCATTGTAATGTGGCAAAACCATCATACAGAGAGCACTGACTAATCCAGTACTGTAAATTGTTTGAGCAGCTACTTATATGTGTTTTTGTGTGTGGGAAATTACATCACACGATAGTGGGGAAGTCTTGAGCTCATGATTTGGTAAGTATTTCGTGCTTTTACAGAATCTTTGTTCCACTGCACAAACATTTGCAGAAAAACTGATTCTAGAATCTCAAACACTTAAACCTAACCTTTCTCTACACACACACACACACAC